TGTCTGGGCCCCCTGTGCTCATTCCGCATACTCACAGCGTGACAACGCACATCAAAGTATTCACCCCTAAGATGACTCAGAGACAGTGCAATGATTATCGTATATTGCAGCACTATCCTTAAGTGAGGTTATTGGTCTAATTTCTTTTATCAAATTACTGTTTACAGAGAAGCGCGAGGTTCTATCGATATCTTGCTGAGACGATACTAATTGAAGAATATAGCATAAGAGCTTTCTTAAAGTCAATTAGTGCACACAAGGAAAAACAGAATTGAGTAATATTGGTGTCACAGAACACAATTACATTGCCCAAACGAAAGCGGAATTATCAATCTTCATAAAAAAATAATTTAAAGCATTCGGATACCAAAATGTAACGTAACCATCAATTCAAAAGAATTCCAGTCATTCCTAGTATCACATAAAAGGATGACTACATCGACTGCCACTGAAACTGAAGTAACAAGCCTTTTTAAACATTAAAGAGAAACTGCAATAGATGGACATTGCAATTTGTGTGGCTGTGTGCATTGTAACTTCAGCTTACCGCACAATACTCGAAGATTTCGTAAATAATGTCATTTCATAAAAAGATAGAGATAGCTTTTGGTATGAAGTTTATGTCAACATCTTCCTAAAATCGTGATGGACTCAGTATCATTGAGACACAATAAAGTTATTGACGCACGCTGTACCTGAAACGAAATAAATGTTTCAGAGGACGAGGTGCATTAAAGCAACTCATCAAACAGCATCGCTTACCAACTACATTAATAGTAACTGTGTCTTGCTCCATCAAATTAGTATAAGTATCCAGCAACGGAACATGGTACGTGTATTCCACCTTTCTCTTCACATTCTTTAGTATTAGTGTTGTATCAAGCAAAGCATTGAATTCACTCAAGTTGTGGAGCTCGGATTGAACGCGTTTCCAACCTTGCTGGATGATATTTTTTCAATCGGTTCACTAGGTTTCTGTCTTTAAAACTCAACGAGATACGGACTCGGTACATCAGAATACAGCCATCCAAGTTTGACTCGGTCGCTGTTCACTCCTAACACCACAGTTGTAGGACGGGAAGGTCTCTTGCTGATTCTGAATGACTGTGAAAAAGGCAAATAGACAACATCTAATTACATTTCAACACACGTAACTTTAATAACTTTTGTTCATTTGTCAGAAAATTGAAGGATATGTTACAGTATGTCGATTTATTTTAGAGTTTTATTCCAAGTAGCAAACAAAACTAGCATCTCTATATTCTTAACTCTATGTGCCTTACCTGACTTCTGAATTGCGGAACAGAGTAAAAGCGTGGCTAAACTCCATGGAAAGAACTCATTTTCCTTTCATACACCTAAATTGACTAGATTTTACTTACTAACTGACAAAATTGATTTAGATATACTTTGACTGGCTGACTGACTAAATTGATTAGAATATTCCCTTTTCGAAACTTAACTGAAGAAATATTCAAGATTCTTGAGAAAGCTGTACATACACAGTTATACCAATTCCTGGTTGCAAATAAGCTCCTTTCAGGAAAACAGTTTGGATTCTGGAAGGGACTGTCCACCATATCTGCCCTGACATCCTTTGCCCATGAAGTCCTTCTTAATATAGAACAGGGCAAACTATGTGGAACCGTGTTTTTAGATCTAACAAAAGCTTTTGATTGGGTGGATCACTAGATCTTATTGTCTAAGCTATCAACGTATGTATGTCTGGAAATTCGCGTCAACGGTTTCGTTCCTACATCACTGACCGAAAACAGCGAAAATCTTGTGGGAATGAGATGTCTAACGAGTTTCCAGTAACTCACGGGTTTCCACAGGGCAGCATTTTAGGCCCCTTGTTGTTTGTCATTTATATAAACGATCTGCCAAGCACTCTTGAATACTGCTGTGTGTCCCTCTATGCAGATAATACCGTGATTTACTGTTACGGCTCATCTTCCCATGAGATCAGTGATGAGTTAAATCGCGACTTGTTAGCCGTAGCTAATTGGTTAAATGCTCACAAGCTTACTTTGAACCTTGAAAAAACTAAATGTATGCTTTTAGGTAGTAATAGGAAATTTGAAAGCAAAATAGCTCTGTCTATAAATCTTCGACCACAATGTAAATAATGTCAACAG